CCTGATGGGACCTTTAATGAAAGTGCCCTTCTTCTGCGCTCTGATATTCCGTACCATCAGCTATTTGTTCATACTTCGCTGCATTACACAGCAGCCCGTATCCACTTGCATAGGTGGTATACGCTCTGTTCTTTATATCTCTCTCCTTCTCGGGCATTATCTATTCCGGATATTGCCTTTCTTGTTTCGTCATTACCGCCACCAATCCTGTTACTTGGCGATTTTAATGCCCACCGTTTCCTCTGGGGGGTCTCACTGTGATTCCCGTGGCATTCAGTGGCTTTTCTTGCCACCCACCCCCTCCATGTTTTAAATACAGGTACTCACACCCATTTTGATCCTCGGACTCACACTCTCTCTTGCATCGATCTCTTAGTCTGCTCTTCCTCCACCGCATTAGACTTCACTTGGTCTGTTCTCCCGGACTTACATGACAGCGATCATTTCCCAATCATTCTTACTTCCCCTTCATATTCACCACTCCTTTGCATCCCATGCTGGCAATTTGATCAGGCAAATTGGAACCTTTACTCACACCTAACTGTTTTTAGAGAGGTTCCTTATTCATCCTCCATCGATGAGCTTTTACACCTCTTCTCATCCTCTGTTTTAACCGCATCTTCTAATTGTATACCCCAAACTTCGGGCAGGCATTCTCAGAAATGCGTGCCTTGGTGGTCTCCTGCTTGTGCTCGTGCAGTACATTTGAAACGCACTGCATGGGGTAGGTACCGGTACAATAGAACCACAGAGAGACTTCTTGATTTTAAGCAGAAGTGTGCGATTGCTCGTCGTGTCATACGTGATGCTAAAAGCACTTGCTGGCGAGATTATGTCTCCACCATCACCTCTGCTTCCTCTATGAGTGCAGTCTGGAAAAAAGTATGAAAACTGAGTGGTAAATATTCTCCTGACCCGGCTCCTGTTCTGCGGGTTGCTAGTGTTGATATAGCAAACCCACTAGATGTTGCCAGTGAAATTGGCAATCATCTGGTCCGTATTTCTCGGGAACTCCATCTATGCCCCTCATTTCTTTCCTCAAAGTCTGCCAGAGAGTTACCCCCCTTGGACTTTTCTTCTCTCAGAGAAGAACAGTATAATGTGCCTTTTACACTTCAAGAACTGGAGGCAACACTCTCAGCTTGCCGATCATCGGCAGCTGGGCCTGACGACATTCATATTCGTATGCTACAACATTTACATCAGTCAGCCCTTGCAGTCCTATTACGCCTTTACAATCTTATTTGGTCACAAGGAGTTGTACCACAGCTGTGGAAATCCGCCATTGTTCTCCCTTTCCGCAAACAAGGCACTACGGGACATGAAGCCTCCCACTATCGTCCCATTGCACTTACCAGTGCAGTTTGCAAAGTGATGGAACGCCTAGTAAATAGACGTTTAGTGTGGTATTTAGAGACACATAACAGTCTCTCCACTCATCAATATGGCTTTCGTAAGGGACGTTCTACCATAGACCCCTTACTACGCTTGGATACTTATGTTCGTAATGCCTTTGCGAATAACCACTCAGTTATTGCCATATTTTTTGACCTTGAGAAGGCATATGACACAACTTGGAGGTATAATATTTTAGCCCAAGTCCACTCCTTAGGCCTTCAAGGCAATCTACCATCCTTCCTTAAGAACTTTTTAACTGACAGGCATTTCCGTGTTCGGGTTAATAATGTGCTCTCCCCGGACTTTATCCAAGCTGAAGGTGTCCCCCAGGGATGTGTTCTGAGCACAACACTTTTTCTCCTTGCTATTAATGATTTGGCCTCTAGTCTTCCATCCAATATTTGGTCATCACTCTATGTTGATAACTTCGCTATTGCCTGTGCAGGCACTGACTGTCACCTCATTACAGTTTCTCTCCAGCATGCAGTCGACCGTGTTTCCAATTGGGCCACCACACATGGGTTTAAATTTTCAAGCACTAAAACCCACCAAATTACTTTCACTAGACGCTCTGTCATCTCCGATCATCCTTTGTACCTCTATGGCTCCCGTATCCCTGAACGTGATACAGTCAAGTTTCTGGGCCTCCTCTTTGACCGTAGGTTATCCTGGAAACCTCACATTACCTCTCTGAAGGCAACTTGTCACAGCCGGCTGAACCTTCTTAAAACCCTTGCTCATCTTTCATGGGGAGTTGATCGTCGAACCCTCCTTCGCCTACATTCCACACTCATTTTATCGAAACTTGATTATGGTGACCAGATCTATTCAGCGGCATCTCCTGCTACTCTCTCTAGCCTTAACCCCATTCATCACCAAGGATTACGTTTATGCCTTGGTGCTTTTCGCTCTTCCCCTGTCGAGAGCCTCTATGCAGAAGCAAACGTTCCATCCTTATCCGATCGCCATGATGCCCATTGCCTTCGCTACTATGTATGCTCTCATGATCTCCGCAATCCTTCCATTTATAGAATGGTCACTGATATTAGTAGACATTCTTTATTTGTTCGCCGCCCCTGTTTACTCCGTCCCTTCTCTCTTCGCCTTCATTCACTCTTGTCTTCTCTTCAATTACCACATTTCTATGTACATGTAACATCTCACTTTTCCCTACCCCCCTGGGAAGTTCCAGCTGTTCGAGTCTGTTCTTTCTCTCTCCCTTGCTCGAAAGCCCAACTGTCTACGGTCGATTCCCGCTCTCTTTTTCTTGACCACTTTCACTCTCATTCTCATGCCATTGCTGTGTACACAGATGGCTCTAAGTCTTCTGACGGCGTAGGATTCGCAGCAGTGTTTCCGGACAGCGTCGTACAAGGGCATTTACTATCTCCTGCTAGTATTTTTACTGCTGAATTGTATGCCATCCTTACAGCAGTTATCCGTATTGCATCTATGCCTGTGTCATCATTTGTGGTTGTCTCAGACTCCCTTAGTGCTTTACAGGCTATATAGAAATTTGATACACCTCACCCCTTAGTCCTCCGTATCCAACTTTGGCTACGCCGCATCTTTACCAAGCATAAAGATATTGTTTTTTGTTGGGTCCCTGGTCATGTTGACGTACAGGGCAATGAACAGGCAGACTGCTGCGCGGTTAGCAGTACATGACCTACCAGTTTCATATAGAGGTATTCCATTTACGGACTATTTTGCTGCAATATCTTCCCACCTTCACACCCATTGGCAACAACGTTGGTCTACTATGCTCGGCAACAAACTTCAATCTATTAAACCGAGTATAGGTTACTGGCCGTCTTATCACCAGTGTCGAGGTTGGGAGACTACTCTCTCCCGTCTTCGCATTGGCCATACTCATCTTACTCGTGGATATCTCATGGAGAGGCGCCCTGCTCCTCTCTGTGAGAATTGCCAAGCTCCATTATCAGTCAGCCACATTCTGTTGGATTGCCCACTTTATCAACGAGCACGAAGAACTTACCTCCGTCGTCGTCTTCACTCCACTGCTCTCTCTTTACCTTCCCTTCTCGCTGATGGACCCACCTTTCATCCAGACTCTCTCATTGACTTTTTGACAACAACTGACTTACTTCACAAATTCTGATACCTTCAGCCCTTTCTACTTCAATCTCTTGCTACCCTCTACCCCCGTACTATCCCCTGCCCCGCTGTTTTCTGTAACCTACTGATCATCCCTCCTCCCTTCTGCCATCCAATACCCTCGCTTCCTTCCCTACCCTGCAGCGCTGTATAGCCCTTGTGGCTTAGCGCTTCTTTTTTATTATAATAATAATTGTTATTGGTGAATGAATGGCGTTGTTATGAAGCAACCCATTTACTACTAGAGGTACTTGGATGTTTACTGTTGGTTCTTTCTGGCGCTACTGAATGGGGCAAAGTTGGTTGCCTCTTTTACTATGGAGTTGACTTGCAACTCATGGGTTTCCTTTTGGTTTATTAGCATGATTTAGCTATTGTACTTCTAATTCTGTCTTGGGTCATTCATTACTATTTCATCACCTAATTCTTACTGTGAAAGGTGGAGTACGTATTTTGAATATCTAAACAACTCTTCATCCATCTCGTTCTCACATCATTCTTCTCACAGTATTTTTTTAATGCATTGAAGACAGCTGTATCCTTCGCTGCCAGACGTTTCCCCTCCTGTTTGTTGTAATTTGCTTATTACCTTTTAACTAGACATTCAGGATAATTTAGATTAAATCAGAATAAACAAACATAACATAAACTACATATATCATATTTATTGTTGAAGGTTTACACATTCACTTCTTTTCTGAAGTATTACTCATTACTCCTCTTTTATCTTTTTGTGTTTAGTACTTGCTTATAAAAAATAATAATGTTTACTCAATCAAACCCTAGCCAATACCTCCATTTATAAATGGCCAAACTGTCAAAATTTATTGCTATCGGATATAAATATTTTGGTGAAATACTGTACTTGTATGATTACTCATAGACTTGAGGAAAATGGTAAAAATTATATGATCAGGAAGGTAATCCTAGCAAATGAAAATTTAGGTGTGAAGACATAATGCAGAGCAAGCCTTTATTTTACATGAGATTTCACTCATTATTGAGCTTTATCAAATAAAGAGAAAACCCCCAAAACTAATCCTTAGATATACATTTTGGTTAGGTAAAGATTGAAGGAGAGGCTATGTTATATGCAGTGAGAACAGGGAAGCAGGAGGTCAGGCCACAGGTGCCATCATGAGGGCAAGGCTGCAGCAGGTATGCAAGACATTTTGCTAGGATGAAATCTCCCTGATTTTGCTTGATGATGTTGCAAACTCAGATGGCAGCAGCATCCAGAAACTTTTTCCTGTCAAACTCTGTATAGTAAATTTGTCTATATTTGAAGCAAAATATTAGTGGGTTTTTCACTTATATGTATATGTCTTGGCTAAATATTTTATGTGAATTTAAAGTTTATAAAGTAAAAATTGCTCTTCAAGCTGGAACGTGAAGCAGAAGGTGCAATACATAGATGTTTGAATGGTATATGTAGTGCAACATAGAAATAATAATTTTTTATTTTGCTTGTGGTTCTTCTGCAGGGGATGGAGGGGACACAGAAGGTGTGGGTGAGTGACCAGACCCAAGGATTTATTCTGGGTAACATTGTTGACCTCACTAGTGAGGGTGTACTTATCCAGCCCTTAACACGAGGTGCGAAGCCCATCACTGCTGATTACGACAGAGTCTATCCAGCTGAGGATGATGAAGCCAAGGAGGTGGATGATAATTGTAAGCTGGTGTTTCTGTGTTTACAGATTGATAACTAACCCACAGAATGGAAATAAAACTCCAGTATACAATGTTTAAGGTCTTCCTTGACCATTATCAAGCTGACTTGATGAAGGGCCCTTATTAAGCCATGACTTGATAATGGCCCAGGGCAAATGAAAGATATACATGTATCTAGTTTTCTTTTGCATTTTGTGGATTAGATGTAAATTGTTCCAGCCATGATACTGTGAATTTTATTCTAAACTGTGCATAAAATTTCTAAACCATAATTATTGGTATACAGTACTTCATATTTGCTTTCAGATATGTATGTATGTATTAGATTAAAAACATGTTTCACTAATGAATGGAATAGTTTTATAAATGTTAAAAAGCCATCACCACATATTGTAAATAGGATACAACAAATTTAGTGAATGCATCAACATCAAGTTTTGGGTTAAGTAGGTCACATTTACTCGACCAAGACAGTCACACTAAGAACATCAGTGCATAGCTGGGAAGGTTTTTGAAAATGAAAAATAACATTGGATAAAGTACAATAAAGCGTATTAATGGAATTTTTACTTTATTAGTATTATGACTGGAGAAAATGCTGCAGAGAAGTATATAAAGGATGTGGAGTTGTAGAAAAAGCATGAAGTGGGATGGGGAATATGGTAAACTATGAACTAGTGGATGGTATGGCTATATAGTTGTACATGTATGGAATGCAATACTGACAAAATGAAGAATTAGACACATGCAACATCTGTAGATGTTTTGCCATCCAGTGGATTTATCAATACAAATTCAAGGACATAATGGGAAGACAGTAGAACTATATACAAACAAGGCTGAAGGACTGATTACTTCATTTTTTGTACATTATTCTACTGTCTTTCCATTATGTCCTTGAATTTGTATTGATAAAGCCACTGGATGGCAAAACGTCTACAATAAAGATACCCAGATGTTGCATATGTGTCTAATTCTTCATCATGGCTATAAGGGTAAAGAGTTAAGAGAGTAAGAAAGGTGGAAGTGTGGAACAATTGAAGGTAACCTCCAAAGAGATATAAGATTGCATTCTAAACAGGTATGTTTAAAAAAGATCTTCGGAATTTTTTCACTCAAATGAAGGTTCCTGTCAAGTACAGGATATCAGAGATGTAAGTAGATAAACTTGTCATTAAGCAAATGGAAAAATTAGTAGTACAGTAATTTATTTTCAAACTGTTCTCTAAAAATATTTTTTTTATGAAAAGTAATTGTATGAAACCTTTCTTCTCTGTGTTTGGTTTTGTTTTTTCAAGTGATATGATTTACAAATGTAATAAAAAAACATTATTTACAGATATAATCAAATTAAACTCTTCTATAATACATAGCATAATTAGCTGAAATCATAACACTAGGGTTCTTCATGAAATAATTACCATAATTTTACAAACTTTGTGCCAAGATCATTCATACTCATTATATATAACTACAGTATTTGTCTCGTACAAAAATACTTCAGTGAAATAAAGTGGAAAATATTAAATATGACATTGTAATGGAACTATTTTGTTAATATAACTTGTCACTGCATGATGTTTTTGTTTCAGGTGCTCTTATGTACCTGAATGAGGCAACTCTTCTCAATAACATCAGACTGCGTTACAATCATGATAAGATATATGTAAGTTTTTGTGTTACATGTGATTTTTTTTAATTGAGAGTTAAAAAATGTTTAAGTGCCCTACAGAGACCCTGAAAGGAGGTAGGATATCTCTGAAATTGTGACCCACTTTTGTACTTAGTGTGTCCTTAGTATTGGAACATTCTGCTAATTAAAGTGGTAAAGTACTTCTCTTAGTAGAGAACATGTTTTACTGTAGTTAAAGGTAGAGAGAAATTGGTTTGAATTTGGATTTTAAACATAAAAATGGGCAGTGGAGCCCCCTAAGCCAACGCTATTGGAGCCAGGGGCTTCCTCAAAAAAAAAAAAAAAAAAAAAAAATCAGTACTCCTAAAGACTGAACACATTTTTTTTTTTTTCAACAAGTCAGTCATCTCCCACCGAGGCAGGATGACCCAAAAAGAAAGAAAATCCCCAAAAAGAAAATACTTCCATCATCATTCAACACTTTCACCTCACTCACACATAATCACTGTTTTTGCAGAGGTGCTCAGAATACAACAGTTTAAAAGCATATACCTATAAAGATACACAACATATCCCTCCAAACTGCCAATATCCCAAACCCCTCCTTTAACCCCTTGACTGTTTCGGGCATATACATACACATGTATATTCGTCTTGCGAGCCAACGTTTCCGACGTATTTATACGCGTAAATTCTAGCGGCTTCAAATCAAGTGGGAGAAAGCTGGTAGGTCTACATGAAAGAGAATGGGTCTCAGTGGTGGGTGTGCACCACATAAAAAAAATCCTGCAGCATGCAGTGCATAATGAGAAAAAAACTGACCGTTTTTTTTTATCAAAACACCGATTTTGAGGTGTGTTTTTGTATAGTATTTATCGTTGTATTCTCGTTTTCATGGTCTCGCGTGATAAAATAGAAAACATATTACAGAAATAAAGATGATTTTGATTAATTTCACAATGAAAAAGACCTTGAAAATGAGCTCAAAGTAGCGGAAATGTTCGATTTTTACCAATGTTCAGTAGTAAGCAAATCACACCACAAGTCCAATACACATCAACTGGGGAGTCTGATATTCTTTCACTAGTGCACTGATATTATTTATACCATTTTTACAATAATGCAGTAGTCTGCATAACAGTAAATTTTGTATTTTTTGTATGAATAAAAAATCAAAATAGAAAGCAATAGTAATAAAAGAGGGGCCTAGAGACGTGACTAATGAACAGAGGATAAGTTATTTTAGTGCCAAGAATGTCTACATTGTTTATTCTGGACCCTGTTTTGAGATTGGCATCTTTTTTAATTTGCATGAAATTGGCCAAAGTGCCAATTTCTGACCACTTTATTGGGTAGTTCAAATCGGTAAATGGGCGATTTCTTGTATTCAACTGATAGAAAAAATGGAGTCCTAAAGAAATAGCTATGAGTTTAGTCAACTGGAACAATGGAATTGGCCAAAAACAGGGCTCAAAGTTGGCGAAATCGCCGATGCGTATATGTCGCCAAGACCGCTAACTTCACAGGAGCGTAATTCCATGAGATTTCGACCAAATTTCGTACTTTTGGTGTCATTACCACTGGGAAAAGATTCTCTATCATTTTATAAGAAAAAAAAATAATTTTTTTTTTCCCCAAATTTTGTGACATTGAATGACAGTTTCAGAAAGGGGCTTGCGACAGTCAAAGGGCTAAAGTGCAGGCATTGTACTTCCTATTTCCAGGACTCAAGTCCAGCTATATAAAAGTAACTGGTTTCCCTGAATCCTTTCAATAAATATTACCCTGCTCATACTCCAACAGCTCGTCAGGTCCCAAATACCATTCATCTCCATTTGCTCCTATCTAACACGCTCACGCTCGCTTGCTGGAAGTCCAAGCCCCTTGCCCACAAAACCTCTTTTACCCCTTCCCTCCAACCTTTTTGAGGACAACCCCTACCCCGCCTTCCTTCCCCTACAGATTTATACGTTCTCCATGTCATTTTACTTGGATCCATTCTCTCTAAATGACCAAACCATCTCAACAAACCCTCTTCAGCTCTCTGACTAATACTTTTATTAACTCCACACCTTCTCCTAATTTCCACACACCGAATTTTCTACATAATATTTACACCACACATTGCCCTTAGATAGGACATCTCCACTGCCTCCAACTGTCTCCTCGCTGCAGCATTTACAACCCAAGCTTCACACCCATATAAGAGAGTTGGTACCACTATACTTTCATACATTCCCTTCTTTGCCTCCATAGATAACGTTTTTTTGTCTCCAAACATACCTCAATGCATCACTCGCCTTTTTTCCTTCATCAGTTCTATGGTTAACCTCATCCTTCATAAATCCATCTGCTAATATGTCAACTCCAAATATCTGAAAACATTCACTTCTTCCATACTCCTCCTCTCCAATTTGATATCCAATTTTTCTCTATCTAAATCATTTGATACCCTCATACCTTACTCTTTCTGTATTCACTTTGAACTTTCTACCTTTACACACACACACTCAAACTCGTCCACTAACCTTCGCAGTTTTTCTTTTGTATTTGATTCCCAATAATTTAATCCTCTTGCAAATATGTAAGTACTGTGCAGTGAATGTTGTTATTTGGTTACATTCCTGGAGGTTTATGACCATTGGAAAACAAGAAAATAAATTTTAAAAGTTGTGTCTTGCACAGTAGATACTACTGTCACATGCACATTATATAATATGGTTATGCTTACCAAATAGAGGTCAGAACACTTCATATTATGCCAGTACTGCCATGCATCCTGAAGTGAATGATGGCTACCACATGCTATTGATCAGCTGGTGAATGGCTCAGTTGATACGGTGGAATCTTTGTTTTCATGATTAATTCATTCCACAAAGTCTGACAAAAACCGAATTGTACGAAAACTAAAGCAACACTTCCCATAAGAAGTAATGTAAATCCAGTTAATCTGTTCAAGACACCCAAAAATATTAACCAAAAATACATTTTATAGAGAATATAGTTTTACATACAGAAAACAATGAGAAATAAATATAAATGACTAATGAAATGGATAGATGAACATATAACATCACTGTTATCTTTATTGAACACTCTTGTTGGCATATGGAAGATGGTGAGGAGGGCAGAGGGAGGAGGAGAGGTTACTGTTTGGAAGGGGAATCCCCCTCTATAAGGACTTCAGGTATCAAGGCCCTATCCGGGGTTTACTTCCCTTCTTTGTCTTTTACTGGCGAGATCGGCCACGTGTATGCCACTTTCGTACTTTGCTACGAGTTCTTTCTTGAATTCTATCATGTTTCTCACCTTTATCACTTGGAACTTTCTTTGGCCCCATGGTGGCTTATTTAGCAATCGCACTCAATAAACTAGCACAAAAAACATTGGAGTATTACGAAATGTTTCAGATGAACATGCAGGGTAATGCTCACTCAACGAGAAACAAAGCTAGACTGAATCAGAATGCGTGGGATGCTTTGTGTGGGCGCGGGCAGGCGGATGCATTTGGTACGGCAGATCATTGTCATCTCTACGAAAACCGAAACTGGGACAAAATTTTGACAAAAAAAAGTCGTCAAAAACCGAATCCTATGAAAACCAGGGCATTCGAAAACCAAGGTTCCACTGTACTTTGCTGTATCACTTATGGTAGACATCCTGATTTCTCCCGCTAAGTACCGTAGAAGCAGTGGTGTGCATTCATAATAGGCAATTTGTGCATTACTTACCCTGTAAAATTTCTTTTGTTAAAAATTAAAATACTGTGTCTGTGTAGTTAACATGACCATTCCAATACCAGACAAGCCTGGCCCACGACCGGGCTTCAGGAGTAGAAAAACTTCTGAAGCTTGTCAAAGGTATATCAAAGTTAAAAGTAATGGTATATAGCATTCTGTATTTTTGTTATTTATGTATGAGTGAATTTCAACGTGAAACTTGTTCGACAAGGATCATTTGCTATTTGAAAATGTATCTCTGGAATACCAGTATACAACATTGGATTTGAAGTATTATCTTCAGTCATATTACATGGTAAAAGGATAAGCTACTGCCAGATGAAAGATTAAAGTTCATTAATATAAATAATATTAATTCAGTTTTTTTAATGCATGTAAATAGCATTCAAATCAATCTGATATGCTGGGAAAGAATATATATTTGTTGCCATTACTGAGAAGACATACTTTTACCAAACTTGCCCTTACTAGCCAAGATATTTGAAAAAATAATACACAAGCAACTTTACTCCTACCTTACATCCAACAACATACTTAACCCATGCCAGTTTGGACTTAGACCAGCAAAAAGCACGAATGATGCTATTATACAAATGCTTGACCTAATATACACAGCTCTCGATAAGAATGAATATCCCCTGGGGCTCTTTGTCGACCTAAGAAAAGCGTTTGACACAGTTGACCACAATCTCTTGCACCTCAAACTGAATCATTATGGCATAAGAGGACATTCTCTTGACTTACCTAAAATCCTATCTTATCGACAGACACCAGTATGTACATGCAAATGGAATCAACTCCATTTGCATGTACATACATGTACACACTCCTCTTTCTCATCTACATCAATGATCTCCCCAATGCATCCCAACTCCTTACACCAGTTCTATTTGCAGATGACACTACATATGTCTACTCCCATTCAGACCCAGCTGTGCTTGAAAACACTGTAAACAATGAACTGCTAAAGATATATGCTTGGATGATGACCAGCAAACTCACACTTAACACAGAAAAAACTTACTTCATGCTGTTTGGGAACAGAGCCTCCAATATTCAACTCAACATACTGTTAAATGGTTCCCCTATGTCAAGACACACGGAGGGAAAATTTCTAAGTCTTCTCCTTGACTGTAATTTTAAATTTCAGTCCCATACCCATCACATAGCCAAGAAAATTTCCAAATCAGTAGGAATCCTTTCCAAGATACACTATTATGTACCACAAACAACTCTCCTTACCTTATACCACTCTCTAATATATCCTTACCTCACCTATGGTATCTGTGCCTG